TGGTTCCAACAGAACACTATCGAAATTTAGCTTTGTGCCAGTCTAAGTTCATTATATCTTGAATTAATATGAAGACACATAAAGCAACGGAAGTGCCAAAACAGATACAGAAATACACAGTATAGTTTCCCCTTTTACTACTTATAGAAATTAACTTAAACGCATATGTGACGTGATAGGTAAAGAGGTAGTGTAGCTGTGACAATGCAGTTGTGGTAGAGAGGACAGGATTTAATACGGTTTAACCGCTGGGACCAGAAAGATGATGATGATTTGTTTTAACAAGCTAACGGCATCTGACGTGAAACTGGTTCCAGGATCACTCAGCTTCCTTCCAAACAAGTCAAGAGTCAATCGCTATCTAAATTTCTTATCCTCACGACCTTCACTTCCTACCACCTTCTCTTCTATTCATATCACGCACTTCATTCATTATTACTATCTGGATCTACCACGGCTGCTTCTCGAGCCTTGTACTGGGTGAAATATTTTGCAGATCTCGCTAAATTCCAAGCAAATATAGCTCAGTTATGGACAGCAAATATAGCTCAGTTATGGACTGCCTACCTAGATCTGTCCATGTGACAACTCCATCACCTCGGAGACTCCATGCTCCGTTGGCTAGCCTCTGTTATGGACTGCCTACCTAGATCTGTCCATGTGACAACTCCATCACCTCGGAGACTCTATGCTCCGTTGGCTAGCCACTGTTATTCAGGTGAAGGGTACTTAATTACTTAGGTTTATATATTAAAATGGTTAAAGGTGCGAACGATTGATGTTGACATAATGGAAAAGGCGAGAAGCCTAAATTTACTAACTCTAGGCAATCTTAGCCTCTTCAAGGATTGGATCAACCGTTATCTATCTTACATATCCTCATGATCTCTACTTCTTCCCTCTCCCCTCTTAGGTTCAACATCCTCATTTAGTAACTCTCTACTTTGAGTGGCTCTTGGGCCTTATATTGGGAAACAATTGGTAAAAAAGAATTATAAAAAATTTTAAAAAACTCTCGCCCAGTCTCGACCAGTTTTATAATTACGAGTCAATGTGATATTTTTTTTGTATGACGTCATATCTCATCAACCAATTAATGCTTTCTCTTTCTTTATCACTGTATAAATTCTACATGATCGGCTTACGGTTATATCATTTCGAAACCCCGGTTCTCGCACGATTGTCGAAGTTAAGCAACGTCGAGCCTGGTCAGTACCTACCTAGACGAGTGACCGCTTTGGAATACCAGGTGCTGTATCCTTGAATGTGCAGGTGGTGTAATGGATAACGACTCGGAATTGTTAATCAGAGAGCCGAGTTCCAATTCCAGTCGAATTCGTTATATCCATTTATGTGCCAATACACTTGGGAAAGGCATGAATCCACTATGTGTTAATTAATAGTTGTATCAGTAAATCATTATTATCACCCAAAAATCTTGCGATCTAAAAATATTTTCTAGCTTTAAGCCGTAAAAAAACAAACCAATCTATAGGATCACTGTCCGATTTCCTATCACAATAAAACCCAGGCCAAAGAAATTTCTCGCGAAATCAGTCAGTCAGCTAAGTGCCACATGTGATACACGTTTGGGCGATTATGACTGATGAGGCAGGAGATTTTTCCCGCAGTAGGTTGCCATTTCTTTCTGCAGTAGACTCGTTGCCTGCCAACCAAGGCTAAAGAACACGGTCTGTTCTGCTATTTAAACCATAGCTGGAGGAGAAGAGATGAATTTATACCTTTCCGAAGAGTATTTGTGCGTAAGTGAATTTAACAAACTCGACTGGAATTCGAACTCAGCGAGATAGCAAACTTATTAACAAAGGTCTATGAGTTACCCACATGAAGAGAAATGGGAGCTTCAGCTGATGTGTATTGTTGTAGTCTCACTGCCAAATGAAAATACGAAACATAATCTCAGATCTTACATCTTATTCAATTCCGGACATCGTTACTTACCATCAGCCTGTGGGTGGTTGTAGCCCTGGGACTCTATCCTGTCTGGGTTAGGTGTTTATGTATATACTTGTCATGTGGCTTTTTCAAACGCATACACAACGTTGGTGCAGCCATGCCGACCACGTGTTCACATGTCAGGGCACCCGCTCATATCGGGTGAATCACAGCTCTCTATCCCCGGCTAGGATGTTATCCCACGGGTCATCTCGTCGATCTAATTGTTTTCCCTGAAATTACATAGAGCGTAAAGTATATACAGTCATCATCTGGGATGAGCCACATATTATATAGCAGGGCTGGCTAAACTTGCTTCATGTAAGAACCACATAAGATAAAGTTCACATGTTTGAGAGTCACAACATATACGTTTTTGTTACACACACATTTTGTTATAAACTTTTTATATAAATATTAAGAAATGCATGGATGCAATATTTATTCATGTATGGAGTTTCTTAAACTGTTAATTTGTATTGGTTTCAGTAATCACATAGTAAACATATATATCAAATGTTTTCAAAATCTGTCTATATTTCTGAGATGAGGTATTATGTACACTATTTACCTTATTCGGACTATTGTCCTCATCTTTATCGCCATATTTATTACAACGTTTCGGCTGTTGTACGCTCCAGCCTTCTTCAGGTGGTTGGAATGTCAAACTGAACCCTTTATTTCGCTCACTGGAGTAGACAGTTCTAGTTCCACGTGCCATGTTTAATGGACGTCAGTTATCAGTTATCTCCTGTTAATTCCCCTCTCCAAGTTCTCCACTACCTTAACCGGGTATTGAACTCACACTCTTGAGGACACATGGCACAGTGGATAAAGGCGTTGGTTAGATCCAGTGACAGGACCCAAAGATACCCGTTTTGATAGTGAAAGGGTGGAACTGAGATGCCAACCTAAGTTTGGAAGAAGGCCTAAAATATGAGCATCTGAACTAGTTAGCTAACATTTAACGAAAACCGATGGCCCCGGGCTATTAGCCTAGTTAGTTTCAAGGATAAACACTCAAATATCTCTGCCCGATTTGCTAACCATTGAACTCTTTCCACACAGGATTTGATGGAAATGTCGATAAAAGGTATTAAAATGCTAGTTGATTTCTGCGCTCCAGGAGAAATTAGTTAAATTTACATTTTTTTAATTTATTTTTATATTTTTTATTGAGATTTGTCTATTTATTTATTGACTGATTTGCTTAGTCATTTGTTTATTAGGTTTTTCTGAGAAGGCAAGTGCGGCTTGGTCGGCTGCAGGGGACGTGAGGTTTGCAGATTGGATGGAAGGAAGGAGAAAAAAAAGGCCCAGACGTGTTATTATTTTTTTATTGTTTTTATTTATCAGTTGCAGAGGACTCCCTTCACAGGGAAACTCAGTTGGAACAGAATAAACTAGAAATGTCTAATGACTTTGATCCTGACATAATTGAGATGGCAATTGCATTTTAAAAGCTGACCAATCGTTTCTCATCTCCTGAGCCTTTCACAAAATCACCCTGCTCTTCTCCCCCGACATACATTCTCGGCCACGTATTTATTTATTTTTTTTAATTTCATTTTTCCTTTATTTTTCAACCACTCTCCTTTCATTCTGACCCTTTCGCTAACACTCACTCTTGTTCTTTTTACTACTTCCCTCCCTCTCTCTTTTTGCTACATCTCTCTCTTTCTCTGCGAGTCCCTTCTCTTTCTATCTCTATCTATATCTTTCTCTGTCTATCTATCTATCTATCTATCTATCTATCTATCTGTCAATTCGTATCTATCTATCTATCTATAGATAGATAGATAATAGATAGATAGATAGATACTAATTGACTGAGATAGATAGATGAATACAATTGACTGAGATAGATAGATAGATAGATAGATAGATAGATAGATAGATAGATAGATGATAGATAGATGCAGATTGACTGAGATAGATAGATAGATAGATAGATAGATAGATACGAATTGACTGAGATAGATAGATAGATACGAATTGACTGAGATAGATAGATAGATAGATAGATAGATAGATAGATAGATAGATAGATAGATAGATAGATAGATGACAATAGGACTTCATCGGATTAGGTTTGTTTACGTTGATGCGACTACACATGCGCATGAACGAGGAACGCTGGGAATTTTAAATTTAGAAGTAAAAATGTTTTTATGTGCTTTGGGTATACAATCTAGCCAATTTCATTTAGATTCTTTTTCATTTTCTTTCCATTATCTTTGTTATTAAATACCCCACATTCTGCCAAGAATACTGAAACATTGTCGGAACCTGGGCGCAAATTTACTGTAGATGAACTGGAGATGAAAGCACTTTCTAAACATGACGCCCCGGCTTCATTCCCTTTAACACCGCCACAAATTTGCTTCCCTGTGCCTTTTCTACATTTATTGTAATTGTTCGAATGATCTCTTCGCAATGGTACCTAGACTTTATGAATTTAAGCGCAGTACTAGATTAGCAACAATGTCTCATCGATTTACAGTTGAATTGGCTAGATGTAACCGTAAGTTCTATGCTGACAGTCTCTTTTCTCGCACTTCTCACTCATGGAACTCTTTTCTTCCTTCCTGATTTCAGCGAACTTTGTTCTTCAAAAATTTAAATGCAATGCCAAACGTTATTTACTGTCTTCCTGATTACTCTTCTATTGTTCTCGATCCTTAGTAATGTTTCTACTTTCTAATTCTTCCGCACCTTGTAACCCCTTGTGTCTTAGTGGCTTTACTGTCTTGCCGAGTAAATCCGATTAAAGCAGATCGATTGATTGATTCGTTTTCTACAGCTTATCAACCCTTTTCAGGTTATTTAAAGCCAGTAATTATTTTTAGATTTTCTTTTTTGGGTAGAGAGATAATAATGAATTGGTGATACAAGTCTTACTAATTAACCCATATATGGGGAGAAAAGAGGTGAATTTATTTGCGCGTAAATGAATATAACGAACCCGACTGGAATTGGAACTCCGATTAACTATTCCGTGTCATTATCCCTTAAGCCACCCGCAAATCCAAGCTTACAAAATTGGTATTCCCAAGTGGTAACCCATCTAGGTACTGATCAGGCTCGACGTTGCTTAACTTCGTTGATTGTACGAGAACCGGTGTTTGAATGTGATATGGCTGTAAGCCCTTTGAGGCAACAGAAATGTGGTTCTACAGAAGGATGCTGAGAATACCGAAGATGGTGTATGTGAGCAAGGAAGACGTTTTAAGTAAAATAGAAAACAAAAGGATGATTGTAGTTTGAATCTGAAAGAGGCAGTTGTAATTTCTAAGATACATAATGAGGAAAGAGGGTTTGGAGAATTTGACACTCATAGGGCATACTGAAGGCAACTGAGACAGAGTAACCTATCTAATATGTTTGTGTAAATGGATGGAAGAAGAGAAACTAATAGCTACAGATATTGGGAAGTTGTAGAGAGCCGTGATCGCCCACGTCCTGAAAGGACATGACACATAAAAGAAAAATGCTGTTGTTTGATATCTTCAGTTCTATAAAATATTGTTCCCTTTTTTAATTTTTTTTTTCTGTTTTTTCTTTGCTGTTACTTAAATTTTTATGGCGCGCTGCTTTTAAATTTGTCTCTTTATATTCTGCATCTTTTTTTTTCCTTCCTATCATTTCCATGTCATTTGCATCCCAAATACCTGCGTTTAATTCCACGTGATTAGCCAATCATTGTTTTATCTGTGCTCCGTTCCTCCTTCTGATTGGTTGATTCTGTGCTTCCATTTTGGCGCCACTCGCTATCTTTACACGCCGACAGCGCCCTTCTGATTCCATTTTGACAAGTAACGCTACCCGTTTGACCGCCGCCATGCCACTAAAGGATCAACACGGTGACAAACGTTTAACTAGTTTTAATTAACAAAATAGCTGCTTCTTGTTTCTTTTGTCTGAAGGCCAAGCTATCTTTTCCTGTTTCGTTTTCACTCACCTCTCCCGTTTTATTTATTGAACGCCTTTGCTGATTCTAATTCAGAATTAAATCTTCAGTAATTACTTAAGTTTTTCCCTTTTTTTAACTGTATGCATGAGTCAAAATTTAATTTAATTTCATGGTATTTTAGTGAATTCATTGACTTAAGAGATTATTGGTAAATATCTGCCTTTTTATAAATCGAGCTAACATTATAGCTATCATTATAATTAGCAGTATAGATATCATTATAGTAAATTATAACTAACATTTATAAATTATTATAACATCATTACAGCTATCATTTGCTCATAATAATTAATGTTATAGCTATCATTATAGCTATCATTATAACTGTCATTACAAGCATCATTATATTATAACATTATAGCTATCATTATAACTAACATTATGGCTATCATTATAGCTATTATTATTATAACTATCATTATAGCTATCATTATAGCTATCATTACAACTATCATTTTAGTTATCATTATAATTAACATTATAGCTATTATAATAACTATCATTACAGCTATCATTATAATTAGCATTATAGTTATCATTATAGATTTTATTTGGAGCGACAAAAGACCACAAATACAGAGCCCCAGTGGGAATCAGACTCACTTCACTAGCTAACGGTCTTCTTGATGACTCTTAAGTGCTTAATAGAGTGGAGGAATTTGGGGGGGTTCAAACTATAACCGAAATTGTTTTAAATAATTTTTCGAAATCCCACCTTTTATTAAGACTTCTAACCCTGGTCATTGTATTCTGAGAAAAGTTCACCCCCCCCCACACACACACACCGATAAGTAAAAACCTCCTTCGTATGAGGCGCCTAATTGTAGGTTGCCAGCCATTGCTTTTGAAAAATCATAATATTTATTGTCTACCAGATTTCAGAAGAGCGGTTGCTTTCTCCGTAGGTAGAAATTGAGGGCTGAGAACCCAACGTGCTTAAGACTGTAAGAACTGAGATTTATTCAGATTTCGATTGGCAACGGTCATTAAGTAATAGAAATACAAATTCTATAAAGATCGTAAACACCAAGAGGGGGATATCGATAATAACACACCGGACAGACAAAGGACAATAGACAACAAAATACTTAGTGAGATTTTGTCTTTATTTTTTTAATTATTTCACCCCAAGCAAAGCGAATCTAGAAAGAATTTCGACTTGGCTAACAACCAAAACTTCTTATGACGTTAATGGGTTAATTTAATGGTTAATAGAAATGAGTTAATTTAATGGTTAATGGAAATGAGTTAATTTAATGGTTAATAGAAATGGGTTAATTTAATGTTTAATAAAAATGTGTTAATGAGCTGTGATAAGGCACAGGGAGGAGAACTGAGTGAAAAAGAATATAAGAAAAAGAAATATATTATTAAGGAACGAAAACAATAATAGAACAAGAATTAAGACAACGACTGACATTACGTTTAAATTTCTGAAGATCAAAGTTGACTAGAAAGCAAAAAGCCGGGAGAGAAGTACGATAGAAGAAACTGCTAGCATAGAATTACGGTTACATCTCGTCATTTCTCCTAACCGCTAATCTAGTACTGAATTTAAATTCTTAAGCTTGTGATACCAAAAAGAGAAGTAATATTTATTTTGCAAATATAAAAATGTGGCACAAGGCCAAAGGGGGGGTGAAGAAGGTTGGTCTTCAGTCTGTCCTATCTTAAACTTAGCTAGTCACAATTCCTGACCCAAACATAGCACATATCACCAACCATTCCTTACACCAAAACAAAAATTTCTTACTTACCATTCTTACTACAGTTACCACAATACCTCGAGGTCTCTATGAAGTACTAATTAGTTCCCATATGTACAATTTAGAAACTAGTTAGGACTTCAAAGAGGAAAGCTCATGAGAAAATTACCATCAAAGAGGCTCAGGGTAGCTATATTACAGCGGTGGGGAAATGACTGAAACCGGGATGTCAGGACAGGAGCAGGTTTTGAAAGTTTGCATTGCATGTTCTTCTTTGGATTTGATCAAGGACTTCTAAATATATAGCAGAGCACCAAATTAGATGTGACAGCAATATTTAAAGCATGGACGAATGGTAGACTTATCAATATGTAAGATAGATTTGGGTGAGAAAAATTGCCTATCACGGCACATTAACACATTTTTATTAACCATTAAATTAACCCATTTCCATTAACCATTAAATTAACCCATTTCTATTAACCATTAAATTAACTCATTTCCATTAACCATTAAATTAACCCATTTCCATTAAAAATTAAAATAACCCATTTTCGCCAATACACGTCATAAGAAGTTTTGGTTGTTAACCAAGTCGAAATTCTTTCTAGATTCGCTCCTCTTCAAAGTGGTAGATGTATTATGAGGAAAAAATTCTTAGCTCGACGTAGAAGAGAATAACCTCAAAGCCATGAAACATCCATGGTATTTCACGTTTTCCCCTAGTAGTAGTTCAACACACTTGAAACATCGTTTTTCAAATATCTCTAACCCTTCCAGCAAGACATTATTATGATTGATCATTGAACTACAACTCTACTGTTATTAGCTTCGAGTGTCCTTAAAACATGAAATAGTCAACTGGAGCAAGGACTGATGCGTAAGTTGGACAAGTCTATGCAGTCAAACTTTTCAAAAATCCATTGTTTGGCGAGCCCTTTAAGAAGATGCATTGTTCCACAACAAAAGAACACTTTTCTTCAGGTTCCATCGCCAATATTCTTTCAGCATCTTCTTTAAACAAGGCAACAAGTTAAAGTAGTCAGTCAGTTATGTGCCATGCGTGATACACGCTTAGACGTATCTTTCGATACATGACTGACGAGGCAGACTTTTTTCCCGCAGTAGGTTGGCATTTCTTTCTGCGGTAGACCAGTTGCCATCCAAGGCTATAGAACCTGGTCTGTCCTGCTATTTAGTCATAGTTAGGTGTGGGGGATAGAAGAAGAGGATTCATACTCTCCCCAAGACTATTAGCACGTAAGTGAATGTAAAGGATTCGACTGGAATTCGAACTCGGCTCTCCAATTCCTCAATCCGAGACGCTATCCATTACTCCACCGTACCTTTGACTCGCCTTCATAGGCACCAAAATATATTTCGTGTTCCAAAAGATCTGTGACTATATCCTATTAATTCCAAAATATTATCGTTAAAATTATTGAAAAATCCACTCGACACTGTTTTCTGGTCGCCATTCAATCACTTTGGAATTAACTTTTCTGGCAATTCCTACATTCTAAACTTCTTATGAATTAGCAATCCAATGTGTTTGCTGAGTATTTCGAAAGCTTCAGTAACCTTTTTAATTGATTCGTTCATTTTCTACGCTTTATCAACCCAATTCCGGTTTTTTAAAGGTAGAAAATGTTTTTAGATCGTATGATTTTTTTAGACGATAATGATTTAATGATACAAGGTTTCCTAATTAACCCATAGCTGGAGGAGAAAAGATGGATCCATACATTTCCCAAGAGTATTTGCACGTAAGTGAAAATTACGAACCCGACTGGAATTAGAACTCGGCTCTCCGATGTCCAATTCCGAGACATTAATCATTATACAACCTACACATCCAAACTTACAGCACCTGGTATTCCCAAGTGGGGATCCATATAGGTACTGACAAGGTTCGACATTGCTTAACTTCGGTGATTATCACCAATACAATTTCTTCTTAATGCCGTGTGACCTAGATGATGACTACTTTCTTATGATAGCCTTTTGATCTCTTTATCTGGCCATCGGACTGAGATCAAAGTGTAGTATTTGTTCTCTTCTCTAAACTATGAGGAAAGCCTATTACCGGGGATTCCAAACATAAAGGCACCGAGTGCCGAGTTCTAATCCGAGTCAAGTTCGTCATATTCATTTACGTGCAAATACTCTTGGCGTTGGGTGGGGGACTATGGATCTACCTCTTCTCCTCCAGCTATGGGTTAATTAGTAAAATGTGTATCAGTAAATCATTATTATCTCCAAAATATACTTACAATCTAAAAATATATCTTGGTTATAAATAAACTGTAAAAGGTTGATAAACCGTAAAAAAATAAATCAGTGAAATAATTTGTACAGTAAATTTTCGCTTATTTAAAAAAAAAAAAACCTGACGGGCCTTCACGAAGGAAATTAATAAGCATATTGAAAAGTAGCTGAGTGACAAGTAGCCATTATATTTAACTC